AAAGAAGAAAAGGTAATTATCAAGAACGATTTGTGGGTTTTTGTACACTCTTATTATGAAGGCCAAGTTGTACACACTCTTATTATGAAGGCCAAGCACCCATCCACACATTTTTAAAGCATCAAGTACATGATCAACAAGCATTATCATATATATAATGAAGCTAAAAACATGTTCACTTATTGATTTCAACTTTAACATAAATTTTCAAAACTGGTGACAAAACAAATAAAGTACCGGCCCACATACACATTCCTATTTCCCACAAACCATGGGACAAAAACCTATTAAGGTTTCAATTCACATATGGCATGGTAAAACAAAGAGAAACAAATTCACACCAAAATTAAATTAACATAAAACAGATTACAGAACAAATATACGAACAGAAACAATTTTTTCCTTTAACAAAACTAAAATTTGGAATTAAATTTACAGATTGCATTCCCCACAAAAATAAAAGGATTAACAGACAAAATTAAACAATTGAACAAACAAGTTTAATTCACATAATTCACACACCTGACACCACATTTCAATTCATAGCCAATAAACTTAAATTAATCAATAAGTTGTTCAAGTTCAGCCGTCGTTACCTGACCTCGGAGTCGCTCTCGATCCCGCTGACTTGTCGGTTGCCGCACGCCGCTCGATCCTCGAAGTCCGCTTCCTCCGTTCCTCGCAACTGCCACACCGGCACACCGGTCTCGCAAGTCTCAGCTCTCGCTTCCTCACCGCCGGCACCGGATGGAAGATGCGCCGTTCACAGAGGCTTGAGAGAACAGGTTGAGAGTAGATGGCTTTGAAACTTGTGAGTATAAAATAACTTCAGATTAACAGAGGCATGAGGTTGAGAGGTCAGAGTCTAAATCCCGTCTATTTTGTGTGAGAAGTGAAAAGCGTGTTAGTGTGTGAGAAGATAAGTGAGAGACCGTAATTTTTTTTTTTTTTGGGCTTTNACATAGGACTACTTTAAAAGAAATCTAAAATGTAAATTATTATTATTATTTTTTTTTTTGTTTTTTTACCTGGGGCTGGAGCCCACCCTAGGCCATGGGTGGCTCCGCCCCTAGTTGTTTTCCTGTTGGGGTTGGTATTATCACATGTGAGAATTGTATTATTCTCCTATTGGGAGTTTCAGAGTCTTGTTTTTTCTTGTTTTAGTGATGATTTTAGACGACTTCGGGTCTGTCCTCCACTAGATTCGGTTGTATAATTATTTCAGTTAGCTGTTTGGCAATCTCTAAATGTACATCATATTTATTCTAGTTATGAAAGTTCTTCCTATCATTCTCAAAAAAGAAAAAAATAAAAAAGAAAAAGAAAAAAGGTTTTCTATGGTTTATATGTGTACTTTACTCGAAGGAAAATACTACTTAACTAGGCCCGAACTCAATTTTGCATATCTTGGTGTCCTAATCTAGATTTAGCTTTGGGTTCTGTCTCAGAACTGTGATAAAGCCCAACCCATATAATTTTTGGTCAAAGTCTCCATCCCACGAGTCAGAGTTCAGCTCGAATCTAGCTCTAGCATACTAGCACTCGCTTCACGGCTTCACTAATACTCATTCAGAATTTTCTTACGTCCCGGCAGATGTTCGAATCGGGTAGTCGAAGGCGAGAATATTTTTCTGTAGCTCGACTAACCAGTGCGAAAATTCAGGTCCTCGCACCTTAGCCTTTCGTGGTTTCTTTGGATAAAATGACCAGGGTTCCGAGATTAATTGATTTATGCATGGCCGCCATAGCTGATGAACTTCTCCAAGGTATCTATCTGTGAGTACTAATGTGAATTTTAGTATAGATGATAATTACAGTTTTCAGTTTTCGGGTTTCTGAATTGGTTTTGATGCGTCTTCTTTTCCTTTTTTTTGTTGCTGTTTTTTTGGGTTGAAGGGGATGAGAACGGCGATATGATTTCGGTTATTTATGAGCTTCCATCAGAGTTGTTCGAGAGTTTGTTGCCGCACCTGCCTCCGTTGGCATTACAAAAGTTACAAGAAAACTTGTGAGTTCATAACTTCTTTTCCTTCAACTGTAGCATTTATCTATTAATCGCCGGAATATGCCAGAATTGTAATTGAGATGGAAACCTTAGTAGCAAACATAGGATTTTCAGCTCAGGGAAAAATTAATAAGGTATCTGCTCCCAAGAACTATCTGGAACATACTGATTACTGAGTTGCTACTATTTGTGTCATTCTTAATTTACCTTATTGATTTATTTCGGCCCTCAACATATTAAATGGAGTTACCGTTGCCACATAAACCACGGAGAACCTCTCAACCAAAAGCAAAGCAAAAGGAAATGGTTTGTGGTTTTGTTGATCACGAACTTAATGCAAGCCAGATAGTTAACATTCTTTACTTGAAAACAATATTTGTTTTAATTTTGAATATTTTACAACATATAGTTAATTTCGCAATTCCTTTTTGACTTATTCAAGAGCTGTCCTTTTTATTTTTCTTGTATTGCTTATAATATGAGCCTTTTATTTAAATAATTCTGACATTTTATACATGTATTTCCACGTCTCGGGAAACAAAATGTTAATTTCCACATTCTGCATCATTGAGATTTGGAGATAACAGGCATTCAACTACCATGCTTTAGATTAAGACTTTTGTCTGCTGGTGTTTATATTTGAAAGCAGTTAAAGGCATGGAGAAGCTCATGATTGTTTGCTATTTTATCTGACCATCATTTAACATGTATATAAACTTCTATTGCCTGGTATTTGTCTTCATACAGGCCATTTAACTTCAGATATAACTTTGGCTCTGTAGATGATTACCAAAGAGACTGTCGAAAACGTAGAAGGTTCGATTTAACTGTGCATCTGGTATTGCAAATGCATGTATTACGTGTCTGTAGAAAAGTAATTTGTCGAATTATCAGTAAGAGCCTAGAATTTTTAACAGATATGGGGTTTTAGATAAAACATGGCGTTCACTTCACAAAGTTCGTTGGCCGGGTTTTCGTCAACAGAAGCTAGCCATGGCTCAGTTGAATAAAATTGATCATGCAGAGGGTGACTCTATTGATGATTGGCAGCAGATGTACTGGGAGGCACATTTGCAAGAGTATGCTCATTGCCCAAATAGTTTAAGTGAGAATGTGTTTTTTAATTGCAACCGCTTGCTCTATTATGGTTGACCTCCATGTTTGTGTTACCAGGTGTGTGGATTCTGTAGCAGAAACAGCTTTGCTCCCATCTTATGATGGTTCTATTGGGGAAATACAAATTCCAGGTTTGCTTGTCTTGCCTTCTTTGCTTCTTGATATCCTCGATGCTCGAGTGGATAGGGCTCGAGTGGATAGGACATATGAATTCATTGAGAAAAATATTATTATACTGATGAGTAATATGAGGGTTTGATTAGCTTTTGAAGTCCAAATTTTTAAATCTAATACATTCTTCTCCATTATTCTTCATCTTATGCTTTATTTTATGCTTGTAATAGCAACAAAGGTCCATTCTTTGCTTGCCACGATCTTTCATGTCTTGCCATAATGTTATGTTATTTCTTATCCTTTATTTTTATATATTTGAAGATTTTGTTTTGTGTGTTCTTGGATGAGGAGAAATGACAAAAGTATTGTGCTTATAGAATGAAGTCTGAAGCAGTTGATATGATTTACTGTATACAGATGGTATACTGGAGCATATTGGTTGCAAGAGTCACCTGGTTAAGTTGACATACGACTGTATCAAGTTCTCTTGGCACTGTGAGAAATTTGGAGTTTATGCCAGGTACTGTAGATTGTAACAAAGCAGGTACCATAGAATGCAATAAACCTCATAATATTCATTTATAAATTCAACAACTGGACTACTTCTCTGTAAGCTGGGCTGCTTTATTTGATGTTACCAAAAATTGATAAAGAACAAATTCATTATTCTATATTCTTGTTCTGCTAACTATAAATTTCCTATACTAGAGTTAGTGCATCTCTCGAGGTCCCCTGTACTCCCTGTTTCGTGATGGTATATTAGGATACTAGTTCTGTTGTGATCCATTTGTTTCTGTTGCAGACAGCTAAGACTTCCAAATGCACTCTGTGTTGCAGAAACTTGTGTAAGTTGCAAATTTGTTTTGTTATATATCAAACGATCATGCATTGAGGGGCTCGATAAATAAGAGTTAACATGTGTTTTTACGATATCAGCTGTTATGGCTTCCCACTAGAACTTTAATGTGTTTTGACTCTTGTAGAATATAGTGCCCAATGCATTTATTCCGTATTCCTTATGGAAGTTTTACTGCTTGAAAGAGTATTAATCTGCTTCTTCTCCTTTAAGGAACCAAGGCTGTTGTAACTTTGTTAGTGGACTAGTGAGCTCCCATCCTTGATGTCGATGTAGTCATGGTGTCTAGCGATTCCATGTGTATGCTGCTTGCCAAACATTGTGAATTTATCTTTTAGAGAGATTTTTAGGGCTGAATGCCTGAGCTAGTTTTGTGAGTTGTGATTACACCTTTTTGCCTTCCCGTGGCTCTATGGTAAACATGAACACGACTCTACAACTTTCCATTTTTTATTATTATTTTTAATTTTTTTAAAGATTAAAAGTTTGTTTTTATTTTCGTAGAGATTGTATCATTTGTTATAATGTCTTAAAGCAATGGATAGACTGCATTCTTTGCACGCGACTTATTTATTTCATAATTTTTATCAGTTCTTGTGGAGAAAATTGAGACTATCCTTCTCATCAAGAAACATAATCAACTGGAAATGAATCATATTCTACTTATGTTTATCAACTTAAACGCACATGAGATACATTAAGTAGAGTTCTGTCAATATAATTCTTTTATCATTAACTTATGCAGGATCTGTTGCAGAGCAGTAAGTTGGGAAGCCTGGAACTTCAGTGGATCAAATCCAATGATCATGCAAGTCCTTTTTTATTTTTATTTTTTTCTTTTTTTGTGCACCTGTAACTTGTAGGTTGTAGCCAAGTTGCGTAACAGATGAAAAGGCCTAAGGCTCCTTTTGGCTGGAGTGTTTGAAAATAAAGGATGTTGAATCCAGAATAACAAATCCGTTGCATTTGATTGGTTACAATGAATTTCGAATCTGTGGACTAGTTATGGATTTATTTTGAATGATTTCAAGCTCTTCATATCTGGAGACTCTTGAAATCATTACATCTTAATACCGCCCGAAACTCCAAATTCTCCAATTCAAATGCTACTTAATGGAAGAGGACTAAGCAAATAAGTTTTACATACACATACTCACTCTAAGATGAGTTGTTGTGTTCTCTTTTTTCCAGCTTGCTTTATTTAGTAGTTTATAGTGCTGATTCACCAAACATAACCTCTCAGGTAGAGGGATTGTGTAAACTTTTAAATCAGAACAGTGGGACTCTGAAATCAATTGACTTCATCCATTGTAAACTTTCTCCGACTCTCATCAATGCTATTTGTGATTCCCTGGACATGAATGGTCTTCAATCACATGGAGTTGAGCACTTCTTAATCAAAAGATCAAGCTTCCTTCAAAGTGACTCATCTCCTGTTCCAATTGGATTGATATCTTTCTTAACATGTGGAAGGTATGGACTGTTTTTAATTCAATACGCTCAAGGTTAATCATTTAAGGGAACAGTCAATGAATCTTGTTCCATCTTATTTGTCTTGTCCTCCCTGATGGTTGTATATCAATAGGAAGTTTACTATGCATTAGTACATATTGTGCAATTTACGGTTTGCATCTACTTGGTAAAAAATTGGTCAGTCTTGCTGCTTGTAAAACTGCCTTGGCTCTGATCTTGCATGGACCGTGCCTCCATGTCCAACTTTGTGATGCTTTTCTATCTTTCACATGATCTGAACGTGACTGTTTAGATGTTTAAAATTTAGACGAATTATGTATGGTTCAAACACTTCACTTTTTATTGTATTGTGTTTATGAAATTGTTTCCAATAGTATGATCCTAGTCTTTCTCAGATTTAGGTCAAGATTACAGAATTGTCTTGTGGAACTTTCAGTCTTTTTTGAGTGCCTGAGTTTAGAACTTCTTTCAGTTTGTTTCAGATGCCATTTTACTATTATTTTTTGCTCCTTTGGTATATACCTTTCGTGATGAGAGTGGTCACGTGATTGTAGTCTATGGCTTAAACAATTGTACATACCTGATTGTTTACATCTAGCTTTCCTATTTTTTTTTCTGTTCTATATACTTGATTCACCATCGTAATATGCTCTCTTTTTTTCATTATATTGACGTTTGATTACTATGATATGGCAATGTCAAATTCAGATTTGTTGTCTATTTGGATTTAAGCTCATTCGTGGCAGGTCCTTGCGTTCACTAACTTTATGTGACAACCAGCTGGGCCGAAACTTTGCAAGAGTGGTTTTCAATTCCCTCATTGATGCTTCAACCAGTATATCCAAGCTAGACCTTTCAGAAAACAATGTTAGTGGGTGCATGACTAGATTATCCTACATCTGCCTTATCCAAGATTGATTATCTTGTACTCTGGTAAAATAGTCTGATACGTTATTGCAGATATCCGGCTTTCTTTCTCAATTTCGATGGAGATCATCAAGTATCTCACTTGAAATGTGCAAGTCATTAAAATCACTTCGGGTGCTCAATTTAAGGTAAATCTTACATTATTATAGTGTATTTTTTCCTGAATATTTATGGCACCGTTCCAAAACTCGATCAAATTGTCAGCCTAGGAGCAAGGCAGCTCTCAAGTGGCCAAATTTATCCTAGGTGGCCCCGTCTAGGTGCTTGGGAATAAGGAAGTGTCTAGCAGTGTTGTGTCCTAGGGAGCCAGGTGACGCTTAATTAGTCACGTCTAGGCTAGCTGGGCAGTCTGTGTAGCACCTAGGCCGCCATTTTGTTTTCTTAGATTCTTTAATTTATTTAGAAACAATAATGAAATGGTTGGGCATACTAATTTTGAAATTAAAAATGAATAATTATTATTTTAAAATTAATGCTATAGTTGTGAATTGGGTAATCTTTGTGCTTGGCTATACTGATTAGTATATTTATAAAATATATTTCTTACTAGTTATGTATGATCGGAAATGTACATAAATATATCAATATTTTTTATGACTATGCCTACTTGCCTAGTCGTTCTGGGCCTAGGCCCTTCTTTTCCGCCTAGCGATTTTTATAACATCTCTTTATTGCTTACGTGAGCGTATTTGTTATATTCTAGGAGTAACTTGCTATTCGATTTTCTAATTTTGGTCATTTACTGCCCTCTCAACTGATGACCATTTTGCAATGTTATTGGAGCATGCAATAGAACTTTGGTGTAAACTTTGTTTATCTTATAATCCTGTGCAAATTTAAAAGTTTGGTGTAATTTCCAGGTCCTGTAACTTAGTACGAGATGATGCAGAGTGTCTTAAACAGGCTCTCGTTCACATACCTAATTTGGAAAATCTTGATCTGAGTGACAATTTAATTGACGATGGAATCAGGTGGGTTGGCATTCTCGTGTTTTTCCCTCATAAAGTTTCTGGACTTTTCGCTACACTCATTATCTTGATATTGCCCTATGATCCATTAAATTCTTGTACATGCATATTTGCAACTCCATGGCTGAATCATTGGTTTACATATAATTACATATGCTTGACTGGTATATGATTTTCAGGAGTCTGTTAAGCTATTTCAGAGAGATCTCCAGCAGAGGCTTACCCTTTGCTGAATTGAAGCTAGAGAATTGTGAGCTTACCTGCGAGCATGTTATTGAACTTTTAGGAGCTCTTTCAAATATGAACAAACCACTTAAATTGCTCTCAGTTAAAGGCAATAGGCTTGGCAGGTATAGTTTCAAAGAGATGTTATCCATGGTGTGATACCTTTTTTGTGGATGAATTGTCACAATTTTTCTTTCCTCCAGCAAAATCGGGGCATCGTTGGGAAAATTTTTGTGCACTGGTATTTGTTCCCTTGATGTTGAAGACATAGGACTTGGCTCCTCTGGTTTTCTGGAAGCAGGAAGAAATATTGCAAGAGAACTGAAGATTGTTTATATCAATATAAGGTCCACTTAAATTAGACCCTTCTTTCTGTTATTTCCCACGATTTCCACATGTTATTTGTAATTGATCGCCTGACAATGGAGTTTTGCAGCAATAACCAAGGTGGTATTGAAGCTGCGAAGTTCATTTCAAGCCTTATTTCACATGCTCGTAAAATTGTTGCAGTTGATGCAAGATATAACATAATGCCTTTGGAATCCCTATCCGTAATATCCTCTAGCTTGAAAGCCTTCAAAGGTGGCTGATCTTTCTTACGCATCTTTTCAGATTTTTTGAGTACCCAAAATTCACTATTCTCAGAATTTTAATGTTTTTATAGCTAATTTACAAAATTACCACTCAGGTTTAGTCTAATTTACAAATAATAATAATAAATAAAATGGAGATACCTTTCAGAATTACCAATAAATACCCCAAATTATATTTGTTTCTACTCTTATGAATTACATCATGGTAGGAGTGAGGTTGTTCATAAGTGCAATGTCAAGGCAGTAATATATATACCTAGAGAATGGTATTTTGGTTATTCACGCATTAGTATTTTGCTCATATGTTCCATTTTCAGGAAAATTAGAGCATCTGGACTTGGGTGGAAATTGGTTGTGTGACCAACTTGCTGATGCAACGTCTGTTTTGGCTGAACTTCAAAGCCATGGGCAATTTTCCTTCAATCTTCTACTATCGACTGCTCCAAACGTACCATACGATGACGACCCTTAGGTTTACCAGGGTACACTTCTCGACTATTTTAAGAATCGTCGTGTTGATTTTTTATTTTATTTTTTTCCTGAGGGCTGCTTTCAGTAAAAGCATATTTTAAGAAAAAGCAATGCAATAGTTGCAACGAAAATGACATTTGTCACCATTTTTGATGTGGTGCTGATTACATCTTTGTTATTCACATCATTCTGTATACCTCATCTCACAGCATATCTTTCACCATGTAATATTTTGGACTTTGTTCCATTTGGACTTTATTATTACTATTGGAAGACTTGGTTCAGGCTGGTATTTTGTTTTGTAACTGGTTTTTCTCATCATTCACTTATTCATACTTGCACTTCTAACACGTGAAGCATTCTTTTCGGACAAGCCATATCACTCGAGCAACATTTTAAAATTGAACTGTGTTTTTTAATAGTTTACCTTATGAATAGTGATATCCCCAAGAAGCATAGCTGTGAAGGTCAAGCCGATAATTAACAAACATAAGCCACGCATAATAAAGCGACATGAAAGTAATGTTTACTTTCTCCGTGGTTATGTCCAAAACTGGTTGTTGGCCTGTCTTTGTTATGAGATTGGTTTCACTTCTGTTTTCATTTCTATTTTATTCCAATCAAGCCCGAGGATCTTATCTATCTATCCTCTTACATCTCTCTCTAAATTTTAACAACAATGATACGATGGATATTATTGAAAGCATGATAATGATATCCTTTTCTTGGTGAAACTAATTTTCAGTGTTGTTGTTGGATTGGTCTTGTCGGACTTTGTATGTTGCCCAAAATTTTACTGATTGGCCACGGATTTATGGTGGAATATTTACTAGGGTAATTTACTAATTCTACTGTAGATCAATTTTGTGTAGCTTGTTGTCATGCATACGTATATGAACTTTTATGTTATGTAGTCATCGGATGATAAGGTTTATGAGTCATCCACACTTTTTTTAACGAAAAGTGTATTGACATATGTAGTAAAATAAATGCACTTAGTACATTTGTCAAATTCGAACATGCGTTTGTATTCTTTTTATGCTTGTTTGTACTTCTGAAATACCACATTTTTCAAAATTAATTCATACTAAAAAACCCTTTTTGAGTGTTAGCTAAGGATTGCTAAAATAAATGGTGATTACAACTTATATTGAAATATATTTAGTGGGGGCGTTCTTTATAATTTTCTTATTTGGAAGCTTCTGAAAAGATAATACTGAATTGCTAAAAATCGCACCCTTTTTACTATGTACCGCATCCTCAAAAGACTATTTTGCCCTTTATTTTTTTTAAAAAAAAAGATGTCCCCTCTTCAGAGCCACTTAACGGCCGAACTGAGCCTCGAAAAATTCCGAAAACACCTCCGAATAATTCCGACAAAAAAATACTTTCCAACAAGACAACTGTTGCGGCGGCCGACCAGCCGGACTGGAGTCGGCCGACCGGTGATCGCAGTCGGTCTTGGACTGGCCGGCCAGACTTTTCGGCCGAGCCAATGGAAGGCGGCCGGCAAGACTATAGCTGGCCGAAAAGTCTGGCTGGCCGGACATTGACCAGCCGCGGTCCCCGGTCGGCCGCTTTAACTGGCCGG